CACTGTAACAGAGGTATTGTCCTCACTTGTGTCTACTGATGTAACCACAGACTTCAGATAGGGAGACAATACTGAATGCTGCTCTATACAATAAAAATAAGCTCTTCACATACCAAACGTGGCTTTCTCCACATGCTACAAACAGCTCAAATCTAGTCAGCTACTTCTCTGTGTGACGTTAATAAGGTTCCCTTTCTTCCCCCTTTTCTGTCTGCTGATAGGAATGTAGCAACTAAGTCTAAATGACTGTAGAGTTAGACACTTTATCTTTATCTCTGGCCATAAACTGCAGCTGTAATACAAACTCCATGTGCTTTACTCAAGCTATATCTCTGTTTCTACATCTAGGTTCTTCAAAGAATTCATAATTACCTTTAAAAATATTTATATCCTGCACTAACCTGTAATACCACTGGGAAAGCTTCCAAACAATGATAATTAAAAAGAGATTCTAAAGTACATAAAAAGGACTATAAGATCAGCAATAAAACCATAGATGTCATAGACTTGGCTTCAAAACTGCAGTGACCCATGAAGTTAACTGGGTGAACATGGACTAACTGCTCTCTCTTAGTCCAAATGTATCTCACAGGTCTAGTTTGAGAATAAAATGCAAGAAGGCAGAATCATATACACTGCCCAGCCATCTTCAAAGAACGGGATAATAGCTTAACAGATATAGTATTAAAAACCAACAACTAAGCCTTTGTCCAGTTGGAGAGATTTAAAGAATGAACTGTTCAGTAGTCAGCAGGAGAATAAAAGGAAAACAACTTAATCTAAAGGCTGCACTGAACAAGTCACTTCGTACCTAATGCAAACCATGGTCCGTGTGTGCATGTCTGTGTGTGTCCAAAAACCAAGTGTCCAGTACACAAGACCTCACACACATTCCATACACAATTCTTATTATTAGCTTGCAGGCATATTTTTATAACCTAAATTGGTGTTCTATACTTTGACCTCATAGAGTTGGGATGATTACGCTTCTAACCATCTAATGCAGACAAACTAGAAAATGTGCACATTTATAGCTGAATTCAGAGACAATGGTAAAAATCCAAACAAGTTCCAGAGCAATTTTTAGCTCTGCGGGAGGGTCAAAGGGCTCTCCCCCATTTATATAGTTCAGAATACTCTGTCTGGGAGGAGACCTCTCCAAGTTTGGGGGCTTCCCCACACATTTTGGAACACACAAAAAGTCTTGTTCTTAACACCAATATTCACATGAGAGATTCAACAGCACTCAAACCAAGTGTGCAGGAATTCAAGTTTTTGCTTCATCCATGCTTCTTACTGTTAAATACATAGACTAAATATTATGACACCACCTCCCATTAACACACAGACCTACAGAATAACCACACATTGAGAAAGAGTCTACTGAAAGCATGTGTGTATGCATGTGATAAAATGTGTATTGAGTCACTAATACACGACCTTCATTTTGTTGCCCTGGAACCCATCCAAGGACATTTCAGGTTATTAGCACCACAGTTTCTCATTTCAAAAACTGGAAAAAAAGTCTCAGTTGGAAAAAAAAATCATCCACGCCTACAAAACTCGCATTGATAAACAGAACTGATACTAGAGTGTTAAGTTAGGTTCCCATATTATTCAAACTTGTTATTAAAAGCTTGGCAGGATTAATTTTAGGAATGATTGCAAATTTTCTGCACAAAATAATGCATATCTTGTCAACAAGGGGTTCAACTATTTTAAGAAAATACTAAGAGATCATCTAATGTCATCTAAGGAAATAATTATAAAATTATTGACATTAAACCTTCTCTTTTTATATCATTCAGACAGTGCACAATTAAAAGTGCAGTGCTCTCAAGTAACTTTGCTACTGCCTGGCTTGGACTTTAGAAAGATTTACACTCTTTGTTTTCTATCTGCTTGAGAACACATCATGGATACAAACAGGCAAAGTAATGCTGGAAACACTTGGAAAAAACTGTGTTTCAACAGAAGCATTTTTTTCAGTTATATTCAGTTGGACATTATGAAAAAATGGCAGGGATTTTCTGTTTGATGGTGTACATATTGTCAGATAGTTGCTCTTCAAATCCTTTTGGTGGTCTTTCCACCACTTTACAAGTGTTAATTTCTGTAAAGAGAAGGATTCACAACATTCCTTTGACTGCAAGCATTTCATGGATTACATCACTCTACATTTAGTGTTCCTGTTATTTCTGAGAACTTCCCTCTCACTGACATCAGCCTTCAAAGTCTCTTAGGCTATATTTCCAAACAATCTTATTTTGGAGTAGTGGGTTACCTCCATTTCTAAGTTCTGATGCTCATCAAAAGGTTATGTCTAGACTTCTGGTTTATGGCGACACGCAGGCAGAAGCATCTCCCGGACGTCCCAGGGATGCAATCTGCACACCAGCATGTAGGAGGGGGTGCGACGAGTCACGACCCCCCCGGAGCCTTGGGAAAAGACTCCAAACCAGGGGGCTTTTGAGGGGCGACCTCTTCGCCGGCACGATGCCGGAGAATTGAGGCGCTCCTCCGCCCCAACGGTCCTGCTGCTGAGTGTCCGTATGGAATTAGTGTGGCTGACCTGGACAAGCATCGGAGATCGGGCAAGAAAAACAGATGCCGAGTGTGGCCGGATGGCTGGCAATGAACTGTGGGTCGGGTTGAAGTGAGCATGAAGATTTAAAAAGAAAGCTGCCCCCCTTAATAAGCAACGAAAAGTGAGTGGGGGAGGGGCCCGTCCCAAACGCATAAACGAAAACACAGAAATAAGAGGGGGGAGCGGAAAAACAAGCGTTTAAATGTGTTTTAAGAGACTTACCAGAGCGCAGATAAACATATGGACGAATATCAGAGACTGTAGCAAAGTAAATAATCCAAAAAGTTGGCGGGGAAGAAACCAGATAAAGACAAACTGTTGAAAGTGAAACTAGTGGGCAGTCCTCGAACGGAAGAGACCACTGAGCTTTCCAAAATGTTGGCAGATTCCTTGCGCCCTCTGTTGGATGAGATGACAAAGCAAACTTGGTCCTATGGTTCCAGGGGGTCCCGGAATCTAAAGGAGAGAATCTGAAGTAACTCTTGAGTGATGCAATAGCCCCAATGACAAATTTGACAGCGGAATATCTTCACAGTGAGATGGATGTGGTCTACAGGTCCTATTCCTTATACATCAAGAAAAATAATCTGCCTGGAGAAATAGTAGTCAGATTCTCGAAAAGACATGTGAGAAATTCTATTTTGAAAGCAACTACGGGAACACCCTTGAAAATCGGGGACAACATTATCAGAATTTTAAAAGACGTTCCATTTGAAATAAGACAGAAGGGAAAGAAATATAAAGACTTAATCTTTTTCTTACAAACAAATGGCATCAGTTATAGATGGTTAATTCCAGAAGGCATCATTTTCAAGCTCCACGATAAAAAAGAAAAGATTGACTCTGTTCCTAAAGCACGTGAGTTTCTGAGAACACAGCTGGGGGAACCAGCGGAGGACAAGAAGGAAGAAGGAAGCAAATCGGATGGAAAGTTAGGCTCGGTGTCTTTTGACGAGGACTCTCTGAAAAGGGGGCGGCAGCCCCCAAAAGTCCATATAAATTGAGGATAAGAAAAGATAAGGGCTGAAGAACTCTGAATTGTGCCTGAAAATTTAGTAACTTTGGGATGCTCTGAGGGTTTCATTTAACAGATAAATGGAAGGTTAAAAGATAAATAACTTAGCATAACCGACTATGTTCAATGTATTACTAGCATTTTAGATTAACATAGAGATAAGCTGACGTATTGATCCCCCACTCTTGGGGTTTTAGTTATTAGTGGGTTTCTTTTCTTTCTCCTTAGATGTAGTTTCTCTTCCCTTTCCATTTTCAGTTATAATTTGTAGTTTTGTGAAAAAACCAATAAAAAACTCCCCTCTAACTTGTAGGTATTGTGCTTACAATGTATATGACCTAAGTTAATGGAACAGTCTCAGAAAAAGAGGGAAGAGAGAAGGTAAAAAAACTTTGTTGAGGACAACTGTATTGGTGATCTTGTCAGCAAAGCCAACAATTCAGTATTCAGTTGAATTTCTCCTTGTGACCACTAAGAGTCCATCTTTCACTGTCCTATAGGAAGATGTTGAGGACTTGGTGGATCATCATTGTCATCACTGAGGTAGCCTGCATTTTTCCAGCAGGCTCCATAAGTCAGCTAAGAGTAGTACATTGTCCTGAGCAACTGTTTACTGGTTCTTCAAGTGTACTACTATGAATCTATGCTAACCAGATTTAACTCACTCAAGAGGGATATTGTCAAAGGTTATACTTGCCTGCTGTATTATGCCTTGACCTATGAGCAGAGATTTCTTCATGCTAATCATGAAGCAGAACACTAAGTACAAGTTAAGTGGTACAGCTGGGAAACACTGCTTGATATAACTGATTTAGTGCCATCTACACCCAAGGGCTTATGGATGCAGGCTACCACCAGCATGGACAGACTCGACAATTTGAAGTTTCTTCTGACGACTCTCCATAACAAAGTATGTCATCTGTAAACACGCTTCTTATAACAGTTTATGAGGAGTTTTAATTCACTCAGGCTTGACAAACTAGTATCACCTGAACTCAATACAAACTTAATTGAATGGCAACTCTGAGACTCTTATGGTATTTGCTGCCACAAGAGGTGTTAGTGGACACAGACTTTCTGTACTAATTGGACTCTGATTTGCTGTCAGTTAATAAGCCCCATTTTGCCAAGTGGCACTGCCCTTTGTAGCTGTTTGGCCACCAAGATGACAACACAGGGGAAAAGGTTCTCTACTTTGGAAGTCAGTTAAGAAAAGCAAATTACTATCAAGAGTATTTTGCACAAACCACTGGATATAAACAATCTATGCTTTACAGTGATGTCTGAGCGCAGTGAATGTGGGGCTGGATGGATTCTTTATCTGATCTAGCTGGGCTCCACTTGGGTACCAAACAGGGAAATGTCTTTCTTTCAGAGGCCACAGTACATTTATCTTACCTTTGCCATCTGTGCTTGAACTCCACTGGCCTTCAGAGCAGATACTGCTTTCTGAGCAGCTGCCGGACTGTCAAAGTCTACAAAACCATATCCTGAAATTTAAAACAGTACTTATTGACTGGCAAAACAAAAATAGTTGACATTCATTCTCTACTATATCCCAAAACGTCACTGATGGTTTATAATACATACATATTTAATTTTATACATCCTACAAAAATAGGCTAAATTACTCTAGACAAGTGAGCAAGCTTAGTTGAGTGGGGAAGTCAACTTGGCTTTCCTTCATCCAAAATTTCCTTCATTTAAAGTCAATTTACTCAAATGATCTAAGAAGTTTATTTTACTCGCCTATGATGTTCACATGAATAGTTATAAATATGGAAATAAAGACAAACGAACCAATTCCCTTCACTTATTTAAAACATGTATATACCACCTCTCCAGAGTCTTGGCTCAAGGCAACTCTCGGATCCTGCTGACCTTTCTTATTAAGCTGCTGGTGGAAAGTGCTGTCAAATTACAACCGACTTATGGTGACCCCATAGGGCCCTGAAGGCAAGAGATCCTCAGAAGTGGTTTGTCATTGCCTGCCTCTATGTAGCAACCCTGGACTTCCTTGGTGGTCTCCCATTCAAATACTGACCAGGGCCAACCCTGCTTAGTTTCCAAGATCTGATGAGATCAGGCTGCCTGGGCTATTAAAACTACAAGAATATTAACATTTGATTTGCCCGTTCTGGTATATCTAACCCGATACTAGGCCACGAGACTATTTCGGCTTTAGCTTGTGGGAAAGCCAACTCAGCAAAGTCCATGAAAACTCTTTTCTGCATATGTTTTTAACATTAGGAAACCTGGAGCTTGAAAACAGTAATTTATTATTTATTTACAATATCAATATCTCGCCATTCTGCCCAGTCAGGGTAATCAAGGCAGCTAACAATTAAAACATAAGACAAGAATGAGGGATTGTTAAGGGAACACTAGACAAAACAGAAAACTCTTCACCCACTGATCGAAGACAGTGACAGAACGAGACGAGACAAATATCCCTGGAGACAGAGTTCTATAATTTTGGCGCAATGACCAAGAGGGCCCTCTTAGGACAGCAGGCCTTCTTGGTTGTGGTGCCAAAGCCATGGAACTCTGCCCCCAGGGATATTCATCAAGACTTTGCTTCTAATATTGTATGCCAATAAAAGGTATTTGAATTGAATTGAATTGAATCATCAAGACTTTTATTTTTTGCTAAGTATCATATTGCTTAAAAAGTTATTATGTCTGTTTGGAGTTGGTTGTTTAACATCTGCCATTATTGGCTAGGCATAGTTAGCCTATACAATTTTTCCATTTATTGCCATGAAGGCTGTAGCCCTAATCCATTTATCCATATAATATAAATGGAAATTTATCAACTGTAAGGGTAATGGTCAAATAAATTCTTTTCTAGGGACCATATAATCCTGACTTATTCAGAGGGGTCTATCTTTGCCAAGGGCCTTTTCTGTATTCCTAACACCATGATTCACCTTAACTAATTGAGCTGTCTTCACAACTGGATACTATTCTAAGGGTTTAGGCAAACGTGTGCTCTTTTTGTAGCAGGAACTCCTTTGCATATTAGGCAACACACCCCTAATATAGCCAATCCTCCAAGAGCTTACAGTAGCCCCTGTAAGAAGAGCTCTGTAAGCTCTTGAAGGATTGGCTACATTAGGGGTGTGTTACCTAATATGCAAAGGAGTTCCTGCTACAAAAAGACCCTGAGGACCTTATCAATACCTGTTATGCTTTTTAAGATGTCCTTACTGAATTTTGGGTTTTGTTTTCCCTTGGTAACTGTTCTTGGAATTGTTTGTGCAAAGCACCCTAAACAAATAGGAAGGATGGTATAAAAATGTTTAAAATAAACCAACAGCTCGACTAATGAGAATCTGGTAATCTTTACTGCCACCGCAATGACAAAATGGGTATGGAAGTATACAAACACCAAAATAAAATAAATTACTTTGCAACCTGTTTTTTGTCCTTGATTATTGATAGTGGTGAGGATGCTTTAGCCCTTAGACTATCCTCTCCTCTGTCCACATTTGGAAAAGTGATAGGGCTGTGGACCCACATGCAGTAGCAATCAATACTGTTGGTAACATATGGGTTAGTCTACAATACAGTGCACTTTTACTTTTCACATTAAAATGGATATAAAGTATAACATCATGTTGTTCTAGCAAGTATAACAAACCATTCCAGGACAGTTTCATAGGAAACCTGAGAACCCTTAGCCTTTTCACAGAAGCATGAAGCCCTCATGAGTGAATGGGCACATTAAAAGATAAAATAAAATTGCATCCAAAGTCTTTTTACATTTGAATAAAATAATCAGTCCATTCTCCCCCTCAAATTTGTCATGATGGTACACAGACAACATCTGTAGCATACAGCAATAAAAGTATGCTTTCTGGGTTAAAATATTTCTAACGTGGACCTCAGTGCAAAAGCAAACTATGTGCTTTAAGACAGCTGATAAATTTCTTCCATGCAAGAGTGATATTTGAAAAATTCTCTTTCCTGATTCTCCTGAAGGCTAACTGTCAATATTTTGCTAAACTTTTATGCAAAATATCTCCGTCTTGCAGGGGAAAGGGGAAAAGATGCAAATACTGACATTCTAACAAGCAGCACTGGAAAAATACGGAGGATAATGAGGGGGAAAGCCCAAAATAGGGATAACGCCCTAATTCTAATTTAACCAACTCCCTTCTATAACCACACAGACATCCTCTTCTCTGCTAATTAATATATTTGAATATTGTGTATGATTCTAACATGACACAGTGGGAACAAATGTAACACTAAAACTGCATTGCCTTTGAGAGTCAATCTGTCTTTATATGTCCTGGAAACATTCTGGATTTCTTGCCACCAACCTTTGAATGAAATATTTGCATTCAATTAATGATAAGCTTTCCCTGGTTTCTTTGCCCCTTTTTGGGAATGGGGGGGGGGAATCAATTACAACACTGCTATATTGGCCCACTTTGCTTAGAAATTCTCCTCCCTTTTTGGAAAGGGCTGAAACCTGATATATCACTGTTTACCATTACGTTTCTACCCACCACTCGTTTTGTTGGGAAGTGATCTAATCATAATTAGACTGCATGTTGAAGGTCACTGAACTAAATTAATACAGCCAGCATATCAGAAAGAAGTTTACTATTTTTTCTGACTATAATTATGTCAGGGAAAATGAACCCCTTTCCCCTTGTTCTATTATATTCAAAAAACGAAATAGAACACAAACACAATTAGGGGATTGGAACATGCAATTAAGAACTGCTTAACACTAGTCCATTCTAATTAATAAAGCCAATTTACACAATATGTAATCTTTTCAGATACTTAGTGCAGTCAAATGGTCTTTTGTAAAGAGTTCTCTTGGCAGGCAAAGGAAGAAACAAACCATTTTCAAACTCTTTTCTTCTTTGAAGTAGAGGCTAAACGCCAGCCAATGTCGGGCATGTTAAATTTGACTGAAGTTATCTGAATTTTTGGCACTCAGCTTTTGAGCTGGGTAAGTGCCAGCTCTAACAGGGACAAATGTTCCACTCTAATTCAAAAACCAATTTTATATTTAAACAGAAACAAAAAGTTAGTTTTAAGACTGTATTTGTAAATATTTACTATATATTTAAACAGTTAAAGCAATTAACTATGAACATACCTTTGCATTTGTTTGTTGTTTTATCCAAAATAGCTTTCGTCGATACAATTTTCCCATATCTAAAATACGTTTTTAAAAAAGAAGAAATATGTTTATTATGCAGACCTTGAAATGACCACCGTCTTTCCCAAAACCAAGCTCTGGCCCCAAGTATAATTCATCTACTTTCTCCTTTTCATATTATTATTATTATTACATGCAGAACCCTCAAAACTAATGTACTGACAGTCTGGAGTCAGCAGCTACTTTTTAAAATTTCCAGGCTCTGTCACATGCAGATGTTTTCTGCAAGCTGCATGTTATAAAAATATTTTACATTGCCCCCCCCAAAAAAAGGTACAGCAACACAGTTGATAATCATAAATGGGATTGCAGGACAGGGAACAAAAAGGGTTAATAGCCCAACTCTAATTTGGTCTCCTCGCAGCTGTTTTTATTTTAACTGTTAGGTTTCTCTTTATTTCCAGATACAATATATCACCACAAATATATAAACCCATGGTGAAAATTCTGAATATTATCTCATCTGTAACAAAATTTATTTAGAATTAAATATTATTTATATCCTGCTTTTCTCCCCAATGTGTACCACAAATAGCTTACAACACCTTGCCAGGTAAGTTCAGCTACCTAGCTGAAGACCGCACAGCAGGTTTCTGTGGGAGAGTGGTGAGCCAAATCTCAGTCTCCCAGATCCCTGTATGACAACACTTTAACTACTACACCATTCTAGCTCTCAATTTACTTCCCTTCTTGTTCTAAGATATCATGTATGTAATTATCAGTGACCGCCAGATTGGTGTAGTGGTTAAAAGTGGTGGGCTATAATCTGGACAACAGGATTTGATACCCCACTTGAAGCCAGTCGGGTGACCTTTGGCAAGTCACAACACTCAGCCTAAAAATAAGCATAGATAACCACCTTGTGTTGCCAAAAAGATCTACAGATTCAAGCAGCTTTGGGATTTCCTGGCTATTTCACACACAATGCCATACGGTAATTTATCTTTTTATCAATATTATACTGGCAAAACAGTACCCACTTTTAGTTTTCATGAAGCAATTATTTTCACACTATACAAAGAGACTCTCAAAAACAATGCAGGTGATTGGTATGGGAAGAGCACAGGCAGACTAAATCCCACAACTATGAGATAAACTCTCTCTTCCACTCTTCAATCTATACAAGAAAAAAAAGGCTAAGACACCTCCAAAATAGGTGTGCATGTAGAAATGCCAACAATATACTCTTCATGGAAACTCAGCACACAGGAACTAGAGAAAGGAGTGACCCAGCTCTCCCTTAGAGCAGTGAGAACAAATTGCCTCCCTTTCAGTCTTGCAGTGCTTTCCTGATTACAGAGACAGCAGCTACTTGGGTCTCCAGCCCTTAAAGGTGAAGAAGACCTTTCACCACTGACCACCTTGGTCTTTTCCCTAGTCTATTATGTAGTTGGGCAGGAGAAGGTGGATAAGATAGGGGAATACTGCAATCATTCTGGAGCACTGTTAGGCCCTTTAAGATTTTGTCCTCTTTAAAAACAACAGAATAATGCTCTTCAAATACTGAATTCTCTAGAAATATATACTTATTGAAGACAGCTCAAGAAAGATGAAGCAACTCTACTAGTTCTGAAGGTGCTTTGTTTGTAAGGGTATTTCCTGGGGTGTGTCAGCATACCTAAACCGAGATATGTCCTTAGCAGCTGATAGTAAACATCCAAATTGCCAATACATGGCTCATGCCCAAATACAGATGCATCCCACAGTTTGGTTCAGGATACATATCTGACTAAGATAGGCCAGCATGTCAGCAATTGGGAGGTTGCAGTTTTTAAGCTACTAATGGAACAAGGCATCCAGTGGTGAGCGATGAAGGAAACAGGAAGCAGCAGCTGCTTCCCCTGGAATAAAACCAGGCTAGAAGGCTCCAGGCCCTTACAAGTGCTTGTGTTCCTAGCACCACCAACACTACCTATGCATTGCTTTATAGAGTAGCATGGGGGGGGGGGGAATCCAACAGGTCCCTATACCTAGACTAGAATCAGAAACTGTAACTGAAGATAGTTAATGGGCAAGAAGAGAAGAAGGGAGAAGCATGAATGAAAAGGGGTAAATATACATAAATGCAGTGACATGTACATGGGCTTAGCTTCTTCCAGATATAAGGACAAAGTGAATACCCCAAAGGCTTCCTTGGTGGACAGAGATGGTGAATGTGATACTGCTTACTGAAGCGAAGCTCATCCTTAGTAACTATTTCTCACCCAGCTTTTTTAATTTGTTGCTGAAAATATCCTCCCTTCACTAACAATTTAAACAATTATGAGAAGGGACAGGTTTATTGCTGTTAATGCAAATTCTATTAATTGTTCTGCATCCTTTACTGGGGAAAAAGAGGAAGGGAAGGCTCTTACATAAAGATCTTTTTCCTTCCGTCTAATGGATTCACTGCAACAGCAGCACAGGCATTTTTCTGCAATCTGTAACTTCTGCTTTTCAAGCCTGCAACCCTTTTGAGTAACATCACTCAAAGCATTTTACCTAAAATTAGACCCTGTAATAAGTATAGTGGCCAGGAATGTGTTTATTATCACACTCAAGAAATACAAGTTGAACCAGTCTGTCTTGACTGAAAAATTTATGAATGGGAAGCCTCCCAATTAATAATCCTGTTCTTCTCCTTTCACAATGGAAGAGCTCAGAGCAAGCCAAGAACAACTGGTGCATGCCCAAAATAACCCAGCACAAGTAAAATATCCAGCTGGTAGTGTACTCGATGGTTGTTTTTGCTTTATAGAGTAGCATGGTCCGACTCTTCGCGACCCCATGGACCAGATCACGCCAGGCCTTCCGGTTTTCCGCCGTCCTCTGAAGTTTGCTCAACTTCATGTTCGTTGCATCTATGGCTCTGTCTAACCATCTCATCCTTTGCCGTCCCCGTCTTCTTTGACCGATGGACCAGAGTGCTATTGCTTGTTTTACCAAGTCACATGTTTATCTTACCCTTCCTCAAACTGACACTTATGAAGCACTCTCCTTTAATGCTTGCTACAAGCCTGTGATGTATGGACAGGTTGAGAGACAGAAACTTGTCCAAGTAAACCCTACTATGGCCCCGGTCACACGGAGCATTAGCCACGCTACAGGGATGGAAGATAGGCGGATTTTCCGGGCGCGATCTCACCGCCACATCTGGGAAGCGTAGAGCTCCCGTGGCTCACCAGAGGCTTCCCGCCGAAGACGCGGGGTAAAAAACTAGTACCTCGGAGGTACTAGTTTCCGGAAACCGCGGGGTAAGGGCGGGCGTCTGATCGCGTTTCCGGTGGTAGTTCCGGCGCCCGCCCATTTCCCCTAGCAAAAAGGGTTTTTTCCCCAAGTCTCCACGGATGCGCACAAGCACCCAACTGAGCATGCGCACACTTTAGTTAAAAAACAACAACAACTGAGCAGCTCGCTAAGACTTGAGTCATGCAGAGAAGAGGAGAGCAGCCAGAAGAAATGC